AGGGTTAAGCCAGGCTGCTCCTTGGAGGCAAGGATTCTGAAGCTTCGTCTGACATACTTTGGACATGTTGCAAGGAGGGACCAGTCCTTGGAGAGAGATGTCATGCTTGGGAAGGTGGAGGGACAGCGCAAGAGAGGAAGATCCTCTATGAAATGGATTGGTTCAGTGACTGGGATAATGGAGGTTGGTGTGTCAGAGACAGTGAGATTGGCACAGGACAGAGCAGGGTTTAGGACTCTTATACATAGGGTCGCTATGAATTGTAGGTGACTTGACAGCACATAACAACAACAACATATAGAAACTACATCCTATCTCCATACATTTTCAATCTATATGCAGAACAACAGATCATTCAGGAGGCCAGACTTTATGAGGAAGAACACAGATAATGCAACCTTGTTTGCTGAAACTGAGGAAGACCTGAGGTATTTGCTGTAGAAGGTCAAGGGCTGTAACCTTCAGTATGGATTAAAGCTCAACATCAAGAAAACAAAGATTCTCAACACTAGGCCAATTGACAGCACCATGCTAGACAGAGATGAGATTGAGATAGTTTGCTTGGCTTCACAATCAACACTCTTAGTACCAGCAGTCAGGAAATCAAAAGACTATTGCATTAAGAAAATATGTGGTCAGGGACTTCTCCAGAATGCTTAAGAGCAATGATGTCACTCTAGAGACTAAGGTGTGCCTGAGTAAAGCCACTGTCTTTGCAATTACTTGCTATTCATCAGAGAGCTGGACAATGAATGATAGAAGAAATGTCAATGCCTTGAATTGTGGTGCTGGAGAAGAATATCATAGAACAATAATACATACCATGGACTGCCAAGAAAACAAACAGGTCTGTTCTGGAGAAGGTGAAACCAAGCTGCTCCTTGGAGGCAAGAATTTTGAAGTTTTGTCTCACATACTATGGGCACATGGACAGGAGGTACTGATCCTTGGTAAAGTACATCATGCTTGGAAAGATGGATGGCAGCATAGGAAAGGAAGACCCCAGAAGAGCTGGATTGACACTCTAGCTTGCGTGATGGGGGTATATGTCAGAGACAATGAGATTGGCTCAGGACAGGATAGGGTGCAGAGCTGTTGTACACAGGGTCACTATGAGTCATAAGCATCTCAATGGCATGTAACAGCAAAAAACCATAGATACAGATATTTAGTTGGATATATATTTTTATAGCTCTGGTGGTCTAGTGATAAGGAGTGCACTGCAAATCCACAACCACATGGTTTGAATTCACCAGCTGCTCCTTGAGAGAAAGATAGGCAATCTTCTCTCATGTGATTTACTGTCTCTGAAGGTCCATTGGAGGGTCAGCTGTCAATTCCAGCTCAATGGCACTTAACTCTCTCTCCACACACACACATTGCTGTTATGTAATATAGAGCAAAACCAAGCCATAGCTGACCCTCCAGCAGGTTTTCAAAGGCAGTAAATCACACAAGAGATGTTAATCTTTCTCCACAGGAGAAAGTGGTGGATTCAAAATTCGTGTTTTGGGCTGGCAGCACATATCTTATCATTAAGCCACCAGTTACCTCCCCCCCCCCCACGTTGTTAGGTGTCATCAAATCTAGTATGACTTATAGTGATCCTAAGAATAATAGATCTAAACCCTGTTCTATCTGGTGCCATCCTCATCATCTCTGGCACACTTGAGGCCATTGAGTTACTGAGTCAATCCTTCTCATTGGGGCCTTCTTCTCTTTCTCTAACCCTTTACAAACATGATGATCCTTTCCAAGGAATACCCTCATCCAGCTACATAGCCAAAAGAGAGCAATTTTGGACATCTTTAGCTCAGAGGAGCACTCTGGCTGTACCTTCTCCAAGACTTATCTGTTAGTTCTTTTGGCTGTCTACAGGATAGCTAGTACTCTTCCTCTAGCACCACAACTCAAAGGCATTAATTTTTCTATCATCCTTATTCATTGTACAGTTCTATGATGTATATATAGCGTGAGAAGACCATGGCCTTCAAATTGACATCATTGCTCTTAAGTATCCTGGAGAGGTTCCTGACAACAGATTTGTCCAGTGCAACACGTCTCCTGATTAACTGACTGTTGGTACCAACAGTGGAAAAATAATTAACAGCTCCAGTTCTTTCTCCATCTACCATGAAATTTGCCTGTTGATCCTGTGGTAAGAGGAGATCTCGAAGGGTTTTAACTATCTGCAATCTCCCTAGAAATAACTACCATTTGACTATATAAAGAAATCTCCATTCTCTATTGTTTATCAAACTACCTTGAAATTTAGCAGCTTAAAATGTTACTTCTCACAATTCTGTAGGTTGACTGTGATAATTGGATGGTCCTTCTGTGCTGTGGTATAGACAAAGACATTCATATGGCTGCATTCAGCTTGCAGTTTGGAGTCTGGAATCCAAGATGGTTTCTCAAGTGCCTCCCTCCACATGGCCTCTCATCTTTCAGTAATCCAGTCCAAGCTTCTCAGATGGTGGCTGACTTCCAAGATGGTGAAAGAGAAGATGCCAGTTCTCCTCAGCTATAGACTTGGTATATACTAAGCTTCTCTCACACTTTATTAGGCAAAACCAGGCATAAGGTCAACTCATATTCAAGAGGGGGAAACTGTGCCTCTTAGTGGGAAGAGCAGCATGAATGCACAAGGATGGAAACTCATCGGCTGCTATACTGAGAAAGTATCCACCACACAATCTGGTTTATTAAACACACAAGGACATGAGTTATCAATTGCATCTAGTACAAAACACTGAAAACTTGGCTTGATCTCAGTGGTTAAAAAAGACCAATGCAAAGTGTACCCTGGCTGCACTTCCAAGACAGACTTGTGGTTTTGGTAGTCTATGTATGGGATATTCAGGACTCTTCGTTGAGTAAAACTGACCCACAGGGTTTCCAAGGTTGCAATCTTTATGGTGTTGTCAGTTTTATCCCATGGAGTGGCTGACTTGTTAGCATTTAAACACTTTGCCACTGTGCCACCAGGTCTTATTACAGAGAAATGAAGGTGCTCAATGCCCAGCCGCTTCATTTCTTCTGTCACAGCTTTAGTTCAGTCCTTTATTATTCTTTTTGGATTTTTTCCCAGGGCCCCTCATTGTTCTGTTACAAATCTCCATTTGCCCTTGTCAATCTTCTTCACAGCTGCCACTTACTTTTCTTAACATATTTTCTAGCTCCAGGAGATGAGAAGAAAAAGACAAGCATCTTACTTATATATGGATAGGTCTTTGAGACGTCTTACATATGTCATGAGTCATGACACAGATTTTACGCTGATTAAATGGAACTTATTAGACAACTTTTTAGGAGAGACATAGTCAAGTGTATGTTTTAAAAGGTATCCAAGCGCCAGAGGGATATCAGGACCAACCTTGGATGAAGGTTGAGATTGCCAAATAAAATATTGCTTAATTCTAACTCTACCAAGAAGAGTGCAGGTCTGAACCAAGCCAGTGGCAGAAAAGAGAGAGTAAAGATACATACATGGCTAAATGGAAGTATACAACTGAGGTTGGTAACTGCACACAGAAGAGAAAGTTATCACTTAAGTTTCCAACTTGAGTAAAAAATCCTGTCTACTGATAGAAATACATTTAGAAAAAGTTGAAAAGTGATTAGAAAGGTCCAAGTCGAGACTTATAAATAAACAGGTTGGAGCTCAGTAAAGAGGTCAAGACTAAATATACTGATAACCAGGAGGAGGAACAGATAAAGCCCTATGTGGCCGCATTTAACATCAAAGAGCATCTTGAGGGGGAAAGAAAGCAGTAAAATCCTAGAGGAAAGTTAAAGAGGATCTTCAAAGATTCAGTATGTCACTAACAATGAAGACATCTTAACAATCAGTAATATGAAAACATTTTATTATCTACTTTTACAAAGATTATATAAGAGGGCAGGTCATTTATGAGCAGATTCCCCATTGGACAGAGTATGAAAAACATACCTCACTCTCTAAGGAAAAAGATTTTATTTTTAAAAAAAATTCCAGTTATTACTGCTTTTCTAGCCAACTAAATAAAGGTCATAAAATCATACCAGATAGGGAATGGATTCTCACCCCTAAAAAACAAAAATTATGACTACTTATAAAAGAAGCCTGAATCTTGAGGGGGGAAAATTACAGGAGCCAAATGTGGCAGGGCCCTGTCTCGTAGGCGTGGTGCTAAGGATGACACAGCTAATGCTCCCAGGGTTTATTCACTTGTGTTTAGTAATTCAACATTTTAATTTACTTTGGCTCATCTACAGAAAGACTGTACTGATGTGCCAACCTGAGCATGCATTCTGACCTACTTGATACTTGCTCTTCCTATATATAAACAGACATTCACGTTAATACACTAGTCTCTGTGCATTTGCTTAACATAAGTTCAACCCAGAGAGGTCAAGCTCCAACTGACAGATTTTCTTTTCATACTCTGTAAATTCATGAGTAAATATTACTAAAAAGGACTCTGGTAGGTAGCCAGTTAGAGCATACTTTGGAGGCACATCATTCTCAAGCTTTCCCACAGAAATTTATTTTCTTAACCCAAAGTTAAAAAATTAAGGCACAAACAAGTAACATAATTTATTACTATTTTTATTCTGAGTTATAATCTGTATCACTTCAAGAACTCCATTTCAGAACATTCCATGAATGTTGACTTACCAGTAAAAAAAGAAAAAAAAGCAAGTTGTCAATGTATGATTTATAATAAGGAATACACAATAAATTATATTTACATGCAATGACTACACTATCACACACACAAGATAAAAAAATACAGTATTTTATATACATGTTTAAAGATTTACATTTTTATATACATTTCATAAAGTTAAAAAATTCTCTGTACAACATCTAAAGTGTACAGAGCATATATCCCCATTCTTATGGATGAATAACCACACAGATAGGCTTAAAACTAGCACACTACAAGCACTTTTTTCCCTTAGGTCATAATCAATCTTGGCACCCATTCACTAATACCATTTCTGAAACATAAATTACAAAAAGAAGTAAAATGCAATCATGCAGACATTCTTTTAATACAAGAAAATCAGATAAGATATTCTACAACATTTATCAATGCCATAGTTACCTAGTTCTGTTCCACCTCCCGTACTGCTTTTGTACAGGCGCATGCAAAACTAGCAGATTATGGATTGTTTTAATAAGACATCAAAATAATACTATAGTCTGACAATACTAAAGCATTAGGAATGCAAATATCTAAGAGCCTGTCAATGATTCTGCTTTAGCAGAAACCTCAATGAAGGCATTATATACTAAAATTCACAGAAATGTAGATACTATCATTTCTAAATTCATATGATCTGCAACAGATTAGTACACTGATAATTTAAAAAGCAAACCAACAAAAAGGTGTTTGACATCTGTTATGAGCATATTCTCTGTTCCGAAAATGGGGCTGGGGAAAGATCTAAGATAAACCTTAAAGGATTATCCATTGTCCCTGCTAAGGAAGCATTTGCACACTCCCAATCTGTTTAAATAAAGATACCTGAAGGCTTTATAAAAAGTTCAAGATAACCTACATTATGCATCTTTAAAAATCTTCATGAAAAGTAGTAAATTGAAGGTAACCGCCCTTTCCCTCCACCCCCAAGTAGCTAAAGATCAACAGGAAAATAAAGTGCCAATGTTTCAATATTTTCCATTTTTAAGAGGCACTAATCCACTTGATGGTTTAGGATTAAATATGAAAATAGGACAGATCTGATCTGAAGAATAATAAATAGAAGGTAGGTGTTCTAGTCTATGCAATTCCTGACTAGATGGGGGCTGGACCAGAAAATGACCTACTCCCCCATTTATTGCTTTGAAACCTGTATAAATACTTTGAATTCTGACACACAAGTAAGACTTCTAAGATGGAAAGCACAGTGCCTGCGCCACTTTGAAGTTGAAAAAGAAGGTGCAGTCTTGATCACTGGACGGAGAGCTGCTCAGACTCTCTTCTCCACAACTCATGTCTTCACAGGAGTCCTCACTGTAGTCAGACAGACAGACAGAAGAGGACTCCGTTACTTCATGTACACTTGGATGTTTTACAGACAAGACATAATTCCTATGAGAGTCTGTAGTCTCCATTTTTATTTTCAAAGCTTAAGCTTTACACAGAGAAACCTTAAGAGACATGAAAATTTAACCTCTAATCTTTATCCGTATCTGGTTTTACCTAGTACAAACCAATCTTGGTAAATTATCCCCTTTATAGGCAACACTAATTAAATTAAAAAACAGAAATTTCTAACAAAACCATAAGAACATCTAAAGTCAGTCCCATTAATGGTGGTGGTTTCTTTTTATTTTCCAGCCAACTCTCCTCAGTCTCTCTTCACTGCACCACATCAGGAAATATGCTTGAGCAAAACAGATATCATGAGGATGGTGCAGGAGAGGGAAAGATTCAGGCCTGCTGTTCATAAGGTCATTTCGAGTCATAGCCGATTACAGGACATATAACAATAACATTTCAAAGCCAAAGTGCTATTTCAGTTTTCTTACCTAAACTCTATTTCAAACAAAAGAGATAAGGAAGATGGAAAACAAAAAAATCTACTTTAATAAAGCTATTTATTTTTTGTTTTCCCACCTGAGAAGATGAGAGTATTAAAGTAGGGGCTTTCTCTGATGCTTTAACTTTTATTGTATGGTTCTATTTGGGAGATCAAATCTTTAACAAGTGTGGGGAAGCCTAACTGGTCAAAGAACCGACTTACCTTTCACTTTCATCAAAACAACCCCCTTCTGGTATTGTTGGCAACTCAGGAACACTATAGTAGCTGTTATGGAGGTTCTGGGCTGTGCGCCTTGAAACTATCCAAACCAGTTTCTTGTGATCCGGTTTGCAACATTCAGGAGAAGAATATTCAACTAAGCATTTAGAAACCAACTCCTTCCAGTAAAAGAACTCGGCGTCATTAACCTGAAAATCAGTGTTTTAATAAAGAGGTTATGGCAATGATTTCCAAACCTTGATGCATATTGGAATCACTCAAAGACCTCACAAAATACCAATGTCTGAAAATCACACATAAATAATGTTGCTTTTAAGGCACAGACCAGATTTTTTTTTAACAGCAATTCTGTGTGATGGAGCAAAACTGCCTCTTATTTTTTTTAGGCTCATACAGAATATCATCAGTTCTTTCTCCAACCACCAACCCTTCAGTAAGCACCTAAAGCATTATACAACCACCAGGGACCTTACACTGCTTTAATTAACATGGGGTGCAATATTTCCATCATTTTTTTTTAAAGCTCCCTAGGTACACATCCAAAATTTGGAGACCACTAGAAAGGTTTGCCTTTCTTAGAATATACACTGACTTGAAAACATGCTAGATCTGGTAATAAATCAACTATCCCATCCACTCTTTAATAATCTCAACCCAAAGATATTTAAAGTAGTAAATCATTATTTAGATTATGTACATGCACATATATTATGACATTATATATATATATGATAATAGAGAAGTCAGCAAGATGAGAGAAACGGAATTGCCACAAAGAGCATTGTTCCTCTAACACCTTACTGGGCAGTATCCCATTTTACTTCAAGGAACCAATTTTCTCCCAAATGTGTTTCCAGATAACTATATGATAAAAGCTTAAATGAAAGCTAGAAAAGGTCATGTGTAAGGAAAAATGTTATGTACTGTCAAGGCAAAACTGGCTCATGGCTGGCATTTTAGCAAGTTTTCTGAGATAGTAAATCACTTGAGATTGCCCATCTTTCTCCTGCAGAGCAGATGGGGCATTCAAACTGTGTGCCCTTGGGTTGGCAGTGCAACTTTTTACCACTAAGCCACTAGAGCTCCCAAGGACGGAAAAATGTAGACAGCATGGCAAAAGTAGCAGGAATGGTCATGTGAAGAAAACTAATTAAAGTGACCAAATTTACTCTCAATTTAGTCTGCATTTTAAGAACTTAAATACTTAAGGAAAAAACAGAGTACCATCATTAAAAGTACCCAGAAAGTATTACTTAATGTTTATATAATCATACACATCAAAAAAAACATTAGGAGGGAAATTTTTCTTAAAAAACAAGGACCAAAAATATTTATTTACCTTGGAATGTTTTTTAACAAGTAGGAGTATTTCTAATAATTCAATGGACTTCAATGTTTCCACTTCCAGATTGAGAAGGCACAAAGCTAATACAGATGGCTACAAAAATAAAAGACAAAAGGATGAAAAAATTTTTTTCTAAATTCAAAATAAAAACTGAGATACATGTAAGCAACAAATTAACTTACTTTTGCTTTAGAAAACACAAGTCGGCAGTTGCAAGCTTTCAGTTGAGCTTCTAGCTTATCAAGACTTGGTATTTCTTTTCTGAAAAAAAAAAAAAAAGACAAAATAATTTATCAAATATAATAGCTTTAAAAGACAAAATACCAAATGTAAATAACCAAAGATTTTTAACAACTTGATATACCAAAGACTAAAACTGAAAATTTCTAGAATGTAAAAATAGAAATGTCATTGAAATTTATAGCTATTCTAATGCTCCAAATATAAAACTTTATTTTTAACTCCACTGACCTTTCTGAAGGATGACAAAATACAATAGTGTGGTATAAGTGCAAAAAGTTTAAGGCAGTAGTAGCTTCCAAATCATAGTGCAATTTTTCAGAAATTATTTTTTCCATCCGTTTTATGTCAGAGGCAGTACATTTACATTGACTAATCCGGATTACATCATGAGTGGATGGAATATTGCATTCTTCTTCAACTATTCTAGCAGCCAGTAAAAAACAACATACTCCAATACAAGACAAATGTTTAGGCTTCACCTGAAAAACAAAAAAAAGGAGTCTTAACATTTCAGTTCCTTTGTTCAGGGTTACTAGGAGTCAAAGTCAACTCGATGACACCTAACAACTTAAAGGAATACCGTAGTATTACTGTCTCTACTCTGACAATAGAAGCTTCCCACACAAGCAGCTGCCTTAATCCACAGTTCCACTCCATCATGTTTACATTTCAGATCTTCTTAAACTTTAAAAAAAAGTGTATTGGAGGTATTATTCAGAATAGGTTCAAAGGCTAGATTTCCAACACTGTTATACTTTATATTGCAGATTATGAAACTTAAATAGTAAAAAATACTAACATTGTTTCCTACTTGTTTGGCTATAAAATTGTTTCTTATCTTTTCATGTGAACATTCTTTAAGAATCATCTCATACTTGCCCAGAGAAATATTGTATCAGTTGTATAAGGGGGCCATATGCAAAGCTGCCACAGACAGATGGCTGCCCTTTTCAGTGCCCTGAAAACTGACCCAACAGCTGAAAGCAATGCTATTGGCAGAAGAATCCTATTATCTCACAGTTGCTGGTCATAGTTAATAAGGCTTTGGTTTAGGCTTTGAAAGACTTTTTGCAGGGGAGGCAGTGGTACCTTTAGCATATGGCAATACTTCCATTTATCAAATTTCAGCATTAAGAACACCTAGGCTCCAACAGAAATATCATTGTACCAAATAAACACATAGAAGTCTTAAGTTAAGGTGTGTATATATGTATGAACAAACTATGGTCCTAGAGAGTTGCACTGCCGACCCAAAGATTAAACCTCTGTGGTGATTCTAATTCTTCAGCAGCTCGAAGGAAAGATGAGCAATCTCCCTTTGTTTGATTTATAGCCTCAAAAAACCAAAAGGAATGTAAGCTTTAAACTACTTCCAACTGGTAACAAGGAGCTGTATCTATCTATCTATCTACATACACACAGATATACATGTGTGTATATATATGTACATATGTCAAGAAATACACACACACACACACACACACACACATTTTCATATCCCCAAATCCACTGTCATCAACTACCTTCTGACTCATAGTGACTATATAGGACAAAGTGAAATGGCCCCATAAGGTTTCCAAGGCTAAAAATCTCTATGAAAGTAGAATGCCCCATCTTTCTACTAAAGATTATAAGCATGCTCTCTCTCACTGCTGTAGAGTCAGACTCAGAGCTAATACTATTGGGTTTCTAAGGCTGTAAACGGCATGACAAAAGATTGTCCATCTTCCTAGTGAAGATCTCCTGGTAGATATAAGCTTAGAGAAGGCTCTACCTTTGGGTTGAGACTGCAGACACAGTAAGCTATCAGAGCTCCTCCCACAGAGCAGGGAATGTCAATCACCAACCTTGAGGTTAGCAGCCTGGAGTTTTAACCACTGCACTAATAGGGCTCCTACATACACATAATACCCAAATTATATTAATCTTCATTTTATCACAGCTTCTAAGTGAAAGGTACAGCAAATCCAGACTTAGGATAAAAGAATACACTTAGTTTTGGAGTCCAGCACTAATTCCAATTTAATATATCACAATTCTAATTTAAACAGTCATGTAATGCATAATACTCAACAGACAAATTAACATTTGAACAGTCAAAGAAAAATGAAGACACATTAAATAAAAATGACTCAATACCTTCATAAGAGCCAAGAATCTGTCCAAAATATTGACAGCCAGGACAAAGGTTTCAGTGCAAGACCCAAAAAAATTTGTTAAACTCCTTAAATCTTCTACTTTGGCATTTCTCAATCTTGGACACAAAGTGTTGTCATTCTGTAATAAAAACCAAGAACTGAAGTTTATTAATTTCTTTGAAACAGACTTGATATTATTACATGCAGACAAGTTGCTTCTGACTCACAGGGACTCCACATACAAGAAAACAAAATACTGCCCAGTCCTGTGGTATCTTTACAATAGTTAAGTGTATCTGAGCCCATTGCTTCAGCCACAGTTAAAACTAAAGACTCAAATAAAATTACTATCTCCCTTAAATTTCAAGAATCTGGGAGGAAAGAATGTTATCATTTAATCAAAACAATACATTTTATTCTCAGATAGATTTATGCATTTCACTTTTTTAAATTAAATTTTATTAGTTTTAATGAACATTTACAGAGATTTTGGGTTTTCATTCATTCATTGTTGCACTGTTTTCTCCACCCTCATCCCCAGTTCGTTCTTCTTTCCCCCCCAATGTCTGTTTTAATTGTCCAATTGCCACAGTGCTTGTCAAAGCCAGTTCTGATTAATCTCCTTTGTCAGTGTGTCCCATGCCATTCCCTATCACTCCTCCCTGAGAGAGACTTTACCCTGATTCATGCATTTCATTTTTTAAAAAATCTATCATTATAGAGTTATAACTACTCCACATACTGTGAACTACTGCCATACATACAGAATTAAAGCAAATAAAAATACAACTCTCGTAAGACGGAGGTGACCAGTTTCTTGGTTTTTTTTTTAGTTTCTTGTTTTTTAATGACTTAAGATCCTATTCAACATTAGGTATTTCATACTGTTGTGTACCATAAAATTAGAACTGACTCATTCATACCTAACCCTCTAGCAGGTTTTCATTCAGAGGCAGTTAATTACAGGGGAGGAGATTGCCCATCCTTCTCCCAAAGAAACAGCTAGTAGATTTGAATTGTTTGCCTTGGGGACTGCAGCACAGCTTTTTACCTCTAGGCCACATGAGCTCAGTATTTCATAGCCAAAGGGTATCCTGAAAATGTACCACTTAATTTCCAGGGAGTCTCCCACCTAGAACACTATGAGTCATCTACACTCTCATTCTAACTAATTCATTCCCATCTAGTTAGAAGCAGCTCATGGCTGACCTGCCAGGGGGGTTAAGGCTGTAAATTGCATGAGAGGAGATTGCTAATTTTTTTCTATGCTGAGTAAATTCGAATCCCCAGAAAGATGCAGTCTTTGGGTTAGCAGCACAACTCCTTACTGATTACACTTCACTAAGAAGAATGGTCCCGTATTACGTTTACCTTAATATTAGGAGAGGGAGCTAGATTAGTAGATTAGTCTGAGGAGTTGCACTGCTAACTTCTTAAAAGACCTTGCCTGTGTGGCAGCTTCAAATCCACCAAGAGTTCCAGAGGAGAAAGATGGGCAATCTCCCAAACGCTGAAAAGATTCTGAAATTAATCCATTACCATTCAAGGGCAATGACTTTGACTTTCCTTTTTGACTCCACTACTAAGAAGCCAAATTTTGGCCTCAAGAAACTGTAGTTTGGGTCTTGAATCAATGGGGGAGGGGTTAAAGCTCCAAACTCTAGTGGCTTGAGTGCTCTTTCCTAGGAACTCACCTCTGGTGTAGCTTCGATCAAGCTCAGCCCTTTTTCTCGAGGTTGAAATCTCTGTTCTTGTTCTAAGTAGAGGTTTAACAATCCAAAGAGCTGGACCCCTTCACGGCCTGCCAAGTCCTCTGTCCCCAAATCCTTCATCTGCAGCAAAGACATTACAAAGAGTATAGCATGGAGAGGGAGAAGGCAGTGGGCAGACGAGGACACCCTGGAGCCAACACCTCCAAATATGGGGGTCCCGGGAGGAGAAGAGGGGACTAGACAGGAAAGCTAAAGCCTAAAGACAGGGAGGTGTGGCAGGGGAGGAGCAGTGGTCACGTCGGCCAGCTAGCGCCGGGTCAGACCAGACAGCCTGGGGCGTTGCACAAGAGGCTGGGCGGCCCTGTCACGACCGTCACGGTCCACCAGAAGCCAAGGCATAAGGGGCTTAAGTTAGCTCGAAGGCTGCACCAGGGGCAGGAACTGCAGTGGTTCTACCAATGGAGACTTTGCACAATAGGGGGCAGGGGAGAGAAAGTCTTGTAACCGAACAAAGAACTGGAGGGAGGAGACTCCAGGGCCACGCCCCTAGTAGAGCCCCAAATAGACGCCCCTCTAGAGAGATTGGAGCCGCTTCCCGATTTGCTTCAGCAGCGTTTATCCCAAACACATCCCGGTGGAGTGTACCCCAGCCAGAAAGCCTCGGGGGGCTGCGGTGGGCTGACGCCTGGGGTGGGGGGTGCCGGGGATCCCGGAACTAAAGTCCAAATCCGCCCCCAGCCCGAACACCACCCAACCGCCCCCAGACCACCCGGTTCTGCAGCCCTGCTGAGCTCGGAGGCTGTCAAGGCAAGAAACACCACTCCAGCAAATCCCATGACAAAATAGGGAGGAGAGGAGCACCAAAGCAGATCACTGCCCCGAGAGCCCATCCATCGACCCCCAACCCCAACTCAGCTCCCCATCACAGGGCACCATTCCCCCGGGGCTGGAGCAGGGGGCAGGACAAAGACAGCTTCCAGAGGTGGAGGGAGTGGGAGGGCAGCACCGGGCACTGAGACAAGCACCATCCCCTCCCCCGCCAGTTGCAACTGCGAACAAAGAAACCCTGTGATCCCTCCGGGATCACTTACCCTGCCCCAGACGACCGGCAGCGGAGATGCTGCGACCCCGAGGGAACTGGGCGCGGCGGGGGCACCGCGGGCCTGCCTCTGAGGTCGAAGCCTCGCCGCCTCAGCTGCGTCCCCAGACCGGCATCCGACTCTTCCCCTCGGTCGCCACCTCTGCCGCCACTGCTGAGGTGGCCTCACAGCCCAGGATTCATTCCGCTGCCGGTGCGCTCACCCTCCTGCTGGAGCGCAGCGCCGGTCCCACAAAATCCGCCTTTCCACCTGCAGCTCCGCTGCCTCCGCAGCCGCTGCCAAACTGGAGGCCGCAGCAAACCTCTTGTTTTTGTTTTGAGTTTTCGACGCCCCCAAGGGGGCGGGGCACGTGACTCCCCGCGGAGGAATCTTTTGCTCCCTCAAGGGACTTTGAAAAATAGTTCCGCCTCTAAACCAATGAATCCAGCTTATTTTATTATCTTCTTGGAGTGTCTTTGTTTTTCTAAGCCTCTTTATCTCTCAGCTCCAGGAAAGGAGTGAAATCAGGGTATCAAATTGATTTGTAGTGCGGAGGAAATGGAGGACTGTTGTTGGGAGGCGGAGGGACATGGTTTCCTGTCGAATCTCTCCTTTTAAAGGTCCCCGATTTGTTTTGTTTTCGCTGATTTGAAAAGTCCGCCCAAAGTACCGGCTCTCTGATTGGCTGCTGGAGGATCTAGTTGACTGCTGGGGCTCTGATTCACCCTCTAATCCGAATTGGCCAACTGCTTTGCCTTTGAGCCTCTGATTGGCTTTCACCATATCCAGCGCTTCTATCTTCCCTGTGGCCCTAGCAACTCTGGGATCTGGATTGCGCATGCCTGGGTGGGCAGATTGAAGGCATTTTTTTAACAGTCCTGGTAGTTTGCTTCATCCTCCTCTCTCCTCCTGATTGCAGCAGAGATGCTACGCTAGTAGGTTCTTAACGCCATGGAGCCAGAAAAGCCAGAAAACCTTTATGACAGCGCTTCCACCACAGAGAAATTTTTCTGCATTCCATCTTTTATTTATTCTTTGGGTCCCTTTTGTGATAACCGGTCATTAAATTTGTAGAGTGGAAAGTGATCCTGAAATATTTGAGTAAATTGCCGTCGTGTTTATTTAAAATTTCTTCAGCAAAAGGAGAATAAAATGAAGAGAATAAGTGCAACAAGATTAGTAGAAAATTGGGGATTGTTGAAGCCGAGTGCTGGGTACAAGGGGCTTTACTTTAAAATCTCCAAAATAAAAACATGTTAAAGCATTGAAAACAATTACCGTTGCACATTAATGAGGGCACATGAATATCTGATCTTTATAATAGCTTGCCTCCAGAGGCTGTAATTGTGCTGCTGTTTAATGAAGATCACCAGAGAGTGATCACTCATAAATAAATCATTTCTTGTTCATTATTAATTGGCATTGTTATAAAGGGCAGATACCTTTCCTGAGGTCGGACAAAAGGCAAACTAGGTCCCTTAGGCAGGAGGAACTTTGACGTGGCTTATTTCAGAGTTGCCTTCTGTTGCGGATAGGGTTGCTATGAGTTGGAGCTACTCAAGAGCACCTTACGACAGACATAAATGCCACTCAGACTTTTAAAACCCTTTTCCTTACTTTCCCCCTCTATATTTTATATTTTATTTTCTTTTATATGTTGTCCTCTATATTTGAAAAACAAGAAATAACACGTTATTCATGCATTCAAATAAAATAATCTCAATTTTTTTTCATTTTCTTTAATATGATTTCTCTTGTTATTTGTACAAGATAGGAAGGCACACATACAGTTTTAGAAGCGGCTTTCTCTTTTTTCCTTGGAAAAGTTGAAGAATCTTAGAACTAGAGTGTGTATGTGAACTGGGACCAGACACAGGAACCTGGAACACAGATAGACCAGGTCTGGGAGCAAAGCTCACAGAATGAACACTCTTTTTTCTAATTGAATGATCTGGAAATTTGAGGCTGAATCTATTTAATTTTCATAATATGATAAAAGGAAAAACTATTAAAAGTATTACTTTATAATGGACATAACCATGCTGGAAAGCTGAATGGATGAAGGTAACTAACTTCAAAAAGAAAGCTAAAATTAGTGTGACAGAGATTGTTCATTGTTCAAATTATAAAGAAGCTTAGTGGACAGAGTACGCAGAAAGTAGCTGGAGGAAGAACACACCTTGTGAGAAAAGTACAGATGTGACCAAAACATGGAGACTTGACACATTTAATTAAAAAAAAAAAAAAAGCAATGGGGCAGTAGTATAAAAGGAATAGAAGATAGAGAATTAATATGTGAAAAAGGAAAAGGAAATGTAAAATTGTATGGTAGAAAATTTTTACAATAAGTTAGAAACAAAAATGAAGAGATCTAGAATTGCCCTTTGTTTAGATCACTAAAAGCTATAACTTGTACAAAGCATGCATTCAGTATGTATATACATTCTTGTATACAATGCAGTATATACAAAATCATATGTAATAATGCATTGTGATAGTGTGTTTTGTGTATCATTTTGTAGGTAGCTTCTTGAATGAGGGAACAGCCCTCCAAAAGCAATGCAAGAACTCTTTGTAAATTGTATTGAATTTCCTGCTCTTTGAATCCCTTTTGAGCATAGGAGAAAAAACTAGTCATCTAATCCACTAAGGCTCTTTATTCACTTTGGTTCAAAGAAAGCAATAATTAAATATATTGGTCCAGTCACATCATCCTCTTTTTGTCCCCTCAAAACTCCTGCTTTTAAAAAATTATGATATTCTGGGGAGAGATTTTTTAGACTCATACAGGCTTTCTCTTTTTTTCTGGATTTATTATTATATTGGTTGTTCTTATGTACTATTGAGTCAGAACTGACTCATAGGTGACCCTCTGGTGTGTTTTCTGGGGCAGTAAATTGCACAGGAGGAGATTGTCCATCTTTCTCTCACAGAACAGTTAATGAATTCCATCTGCTTGCCTTTGGGTTGGCAGTGTAAATAGCTCCTTACACGAGGACGCCAGAGTGTCGTATATCTTTTCATTCTTTCTTTTTTATATGGTAGCCTTTCTTTAGGTTCTTTTTGTCTGTCCTCATCACCATGACTTATTTTGCTGGAGCTGGAATTCTATATTAAAAAGATATTTTCCCCTGAACTAATCAGCCATTACCTGCAGCTACTTTTCAGGCTCTGTAGTTTTCTTCAGGACAACTTGAATAAATGTGATTCGTGTGCACCTTCCAAATAGGGACACCAGAAATCTGGCAGTTCCCAAGAAGGACTTTGTGAGAATTTATTCCAGCACAAGAGACTTAACATCACTCTATAGCACAGTGATGGGGTGTGGTGAGGCTGGGAAATATCCTGCCTCTACCGTCCCCCAATAATTAGCTCTATAATGGTCTAACACGGGACCTTTTGTCTTCAATGAAATCTGAGACTGAAACCAGAAGATGGGAATAGAGAGGGAAGTGAGCAGTGGTGCACCCACACAGAAACAAAGCCTGCATTCAGTGACTCCTGGCCTTGGGAGGGAGTGTCCTTCCAACCTGCTCACACTCAAAACAAGATATGTCAGTTCTCTGATTCCACCTTGAAGAGCAAATAGGGCCTTCTCAAGTGACTGCTGCAGTGCCTGCGCCAACAAATGAATTCAAATGGAACTTCCCTAAACTTGGTAAAACGCTGAAATTTCCAAACTTCCCAGACATTTTTTTTTTCTCTTCAGAAATGACAATTTGGCACAATAGGCACTAACTAGTATTCAAAAACATTTAATGAGTGTTCACTAGATGCTAAGCATGTTACTAAATAACCATCTGATATAGAGTCAGTTCAGACTTATAATGACCTGAGAGGACAAAGTAGAACTGACTAATAGAGTTCCCAGGATTTTAAGGGAGCTCTGCTCTTGTTGTGTGCCATTGAGTCAGAACCGACTCATAGCTGACCCTCCAGTTGGCTTTCAGAGGCTGTAAATCAAACAAGAGGAGATTTCCCATTAGCTAGTGGATTCAAACTGGTGAGCATGTCCAGGGCTACATCTGCCATTTGAAAGAT